TTTAACAAAAATCTACTGGCAAATAAAAAATAGATCTGAAAAAAAGGCTTAATAAATTTAGAATAATCTTTCAAATCAAAATCAAAAATTTTAATTAAACTAATCTAAGGGATAACTGTCTAGCTGAGTTGTAATCAGATACAGGAAATTTAACATAATTCTGCGTAATAATAACCTTATCATATTCGGCGCCACTATCGGCGCTCAAATTCCCCTTATATTTAAGTGCTTCAGTTGCGATTGCTTCTCGCTTCGTCGCCTTCAAATACTGCACCATGCTGTCGTTGAAGGGGAATACCGAAGTTGTTGCACCTATTTCAGCTCCCATATTGCATATGGTACCCATACCAGTCGCCGAAATTGATTCAATTCCCGGGCCTGCAGAAAATAGCTCTAATTTTTTCGAGATGTAATTCTTCACCGGCTTCAGTGTTTCGTACTTTTTCTAGCAGCGATCCCCCCTCCTCCCCTTTCCTCCCACCCCTCTTCGGATTTTCTTAAAAAGACGACAGCAAAAGAAACTTTTTTTTCTGAAATACCCATAAAGATAATTCTTAAATATAACGGTAAAACACAGATCGCGAAAAAAATTGGGCTGAAAATCAAATGCACTCAACCAAGCAGCGACTGCTATGCAAACAGCCGGCGAACGCTGTGCATCTGTGAACGAGAGATGTGAAGAAATGCCAAGAAGGCCAGAACAACGGATATGGGTATCCCATGTTAGTGATGTTACTGGAACCCTCAAAAATGTCGGGTGCAGCTATTCGTTAAATGAAATTAAGCAACAGCAAATAAAACTCTGGAATGGCCGCGTATAGTTGATAGGGAGGAAGAAAATTCTAACCAAAATATTCCACAATAGCACCAGTTCCACCTTTCACAGTGAGTATGTCAGCCACTTTAAGGATGACGTCCTTACTGGAAGTCCAACCCGACAAATTGCCCGTCAATTTCACACCGATTACCTGAAAATTCGGCGGCTTTCATTTCAGTTTTGAAGGAAAATGCTGAAACGGGATACTTAAAAAAAGAGACAGACAAAGGTTCAATTTTATTCTTTTACTTCCCAGTTTAAGTGAAAAAGAAATTATATCGAACAGACCTGAGGACATTTTAACTCCCAAGGAATATCAGCCATCACATCAACAGCATCAGCGCCACCAACACCGATACACAGCCCTCCCAAACCACCTGAAATTTTCGTGTTTTTCTTTTATCACATGAAATTTTTTCTTTTTAAATTACAGCTGATCAATACATCAAAGATCAAAAAATTTCGCGTTACCGCTATAAAAAATGAAGATCGACTCTAATTTATAGAATGAAACTTCGTGGAAGGTCAAGACTTCAACGATTTGCCACAGTGCTAATTCATTTAATATGTTCTGGGCTAATTGCTTTTAAAACAAAAAGGCGTACTGCAACCGCACCGATAAGTCGCCTTTCTCTATCCAGAGCGATACAAATAATCACAAATTCTCATAACTACAATATATGTGTCTGCATGGCTCGATAAATGACTAATCCGAGCAAACTCCAAAGAACCCCTGGTCTACCAAAACGCTGACATTCTTATTTGGAATGACCACTTTTTTTTTTTTTTTTTTTTTTGGGGGGGG